GGTGGGCTTGCTGACCCCGCCTCTGCTTCCCTCCCGGCAGCATGGCTCCCTCAACAAGTACCACCATAGCCACCCGCTGCGGGAGAGGGCCCGCAAGCTGTCCCAGGGCATCCTCATCATCAGGTGAGGGGACGTGCAGGGCTGGGGAGACCCTGAACCCTCCCTTCCCCTGTGGTGTGTGTGCGGGGGGGCTCGTGCCGTGTCCCCCGCAGCTGCGGTGATGGCCCTGCACCGTGTGTCCCCCTTCCCAGGTTCGAGATGCCCTACAACATCTGGTGCGATGGCTGCAAGAACCACATTGGGATGGGTGAGTTCTCCCGCCGGAATTGACCTCCTTCGAGCTTCTTCCCCCTGCTCTGGCGTCGCCAGGGCTCCACGGCCCCTGAATCCGCGTATCCTGGATGCAGTGGGGGTTCTGATCCCCACCCCCCCAACCCCATTCTCTCTTGCAGGTGTCCGGTACAACGCGGAGAAGAAGAAGGTCGGCACTTACTACACGACGCCCATCTACAGGTGGGTGTGACTGCCACATCCCCATCCTTCCCCCCTTGCCGTGGGCAGCCCCGAGGCGCAGGGACCCCCACCCTGACCCTGTCCCCCTCCCCAGGTTTCGGATGAAGTGCCACCTCTGCGTCAACTACATCGAGATGCAGACGGACCCGGCGGGCTGCGACTACGTCATCGTCAGCGGGGCCCGACGCAAGGAGGAGCGCTGGGACATGAAGGATAACGAACAAGTCCTACCCACCGGTGAGTCCTGGTTCCGCCGGCAAGTCCTGACCCCGAGAGGGACATCCACTGAATCCCCTCGCTGTCCCCTGTCCCAGAGCGGGAGGAGAAGGAGAAGCTGGAGACGGATGCCATGTTCCGGCTGGAACACGGCGTGGCTGACAGGGCGACGCTACAGCGAGCCGTCCCCACACTGGCCAGTCTGCAGGAGGCCCAAAGCGCCTGGAAGGATGACTTCGCCCTCAACAGCCGGCTCCGGAGGCACTTTAGGGTGAGCCCGGGGAGGGCCTGGGGGGATTCTGCAGCCCCCTCCCCTATCTGGCCGGGGAGGTTGACAGACCCCTTGTCCCCCTCCCCACCAAGGAGGAGAAGAAGACGCTGCGGGAGGAGGAGGAGGAGGCGGCGGCGCTGCAGGCGAAGGCCGGCCTGAGCATCCCTCTGGTGCAGGAGTCAGAGGAGGACCGGCGCCTGGCCGCGCTGCTCAAGTACCACAGCCCCGACTGTGCGTGGGGGGGCTGGGGCGGGTGGGGGGGGGCAGCCAGGGCCTCTGCCCCCCCACCCCTGTGACCCCCAGCCTGTCCCTGTCCTCTTCCGCAGCCTACGAGGAGAAGCAGAGGATGAAGCGGACAGAGATCTCCAGCCGCTCCTGGTTCTCCCCGGCCACCGGTGGCAGAGCCAGCGAGGCGCTGCGGAAGCTGGGCCTGGGGGGGCGAGCGCTGCGGGGCCGGGGGGGCCCCCCCGCTACCCTCGCCGGCCTGGGCATCGTCCGGCGTCGCTCTGGAGAGGGGCCCGAGGGGCCGGCGGAGCCCGGGGGGC